AATAAGCTGTGAGACTTTTGACCACTCAAGCTCATCCAGACCGCATCCAATTCTGAAGGAGATAAAATATTGTGTTTAATTATCAAATAAAGAAGAATTAAGGGTATTTATGGGCTTCTGGCTGCCACATCCCATCCCTACATCTCCTTTCATCCGCAGCATCTCAAGCAGCATGACTGCAACATCTCACATGATGGTCAGTCGGGTGGTTCAGCAAACCCTCATGTGACTTCATCCCTTCTACTAAAAAAAAGGAAATAAATAAATCATTCTTTAAAAAAACATTCCTTTCTCCAAATTAAGAAAAGCTTAAAAGCTGAGCCAACAATAATACTTTAAAAAAAAAAAATCATCCGTCCTTGATCATCTAATTTTACTTAAAAGGTCATCACTCTTGTGTGTTTTGTGCTTTCTGAGCTCCCCTTCAAAATGATACTTCCATGTATTATTACTATTATTTAAGACAAAAATAATTGTGAAATAAAATTGTGGGATATTTCTTGTTTTTGATTTTCTAATTTGTAATGTATTTATTCCGACACTTATTTTTCTTTTTTTTCATTACATTTTGTTTATGAGAGTCGCACTGACGGTAGGAATGATTTAAACAGTTTGACGAAGAAATGACAGGAAAGTCGAAGTAAAAGTAAAGAGCTCAGCTCAGCGTACTCTTCGACGTTAAGAGGGTCGCGTGTTTACGACTCTGGCGTACACCGGTGTAAGTGCGTTCCTCTTAAATTAGGAGAATTAAGAGTCCTAACCCCGCCTGATACTACTAGACCGTTTTTCATAAAATACGCGCCCTATAGGTGGAAGGTTACAAACGGCGTAACCGTTGTTGTAAACGTTTTCACGCAAATGGGCCAACTGTAACAACAACGTCCATAGTTTAATTTTCTAAGCAGCTTCTTCGTGGAGCGTGAAGCACGTTCTCTTTCAGTTTTCAATACGAGGAGGAGGAGCCAGGGTTGACGTCGTGACGTGTTCCGTACTTTGGCGCGAGAGTTTGTTTTGCAACATCATTGTGCTCCTTGTCTCTTGACGTCGTTCTGTGGAAAAGTATGTCTCGTCATTATTTTTAGTTTAAATCTTAGGGTCTGCTAAAACAATACACTACTTAGAACGTTAAGTTTGTATGGCGATTGGGGACAAAGTCCAAAGTATTGAACGTACGTTGCGGTGTTAGCTGTCATGTTTTTGATTTACCAAAGATGCTTCAACTGCTTTTAACACTTTTTTCCTTTTATAATATAACAGATGATGCGCAAAAAGCGACGCTCCTCTGTGGAAAAAGTAGCGGGAACAACTGCCGCCCCAAGTAAGTTTTGATGTAAATCCACAGTTATCTGTATACAGATGCTAGCTTTCTCAAGTTTATGTCTGAATTATCAGGTATATCCTTTCAACGGCATTAACTCACACTGGAAATATTTGGAAACGATCTAACCTTTAGGTCCATTTATTCCGTGACGGTAAAAGAAATCCCACTTCAATAAATATTTTTGATTAACCCCCACAACAACAACCCATAAGTGTGACAGTTATAGATACTCAAACAATTCTTATAAAAATCCAACAAAAGCCTTTTGTGTATATATTTTGTTTAGCTCATCACTGTGCCTCGTATTGGCCATATATGACTGTTTTCCTACTTTGCTTAGCCACTCTTCGAAATCCGAAAGACAAGAAACCATGCTGCTGATTTAAAACAGAAAATACCTGTATGAAAATATTCACTCACCTACTCTTAAATCGCTATTGTCATAGCAATAATTAAAATCTTTCAATTATTTGAAACTATAGCAAGCTAGTATGGAGGAAATTTCATCGGGGGAAATGGTAAATAAGTACAGCACGATCCATTGTTAGATAAGAGTGTGTTTATTAATATTTAAATGTTAATAAATTAAGTTCTCAGTCCTTTAGAGAAAACTCTGGGTGAAGAAAGTGATAATAATGAGATACACATTTGTAGTTTGAAAGGGTAATAGAAGGTGTGTTGTTACTGACATATTTTTCATACAGTTTGTGTCTTCTGTAGTTTTCATATTTTAATATCTGGTTAACAGTGTTATTTTATGTAATATTGTGTTCTTTTTTTCTTCTTTTTTTTTTGTCTACAGAGGCAAAGAAGAGTCGCAACAGCAGTCGGCAGCCTAAAGAGGCTGCCTCAGAGGAAACAAGCGAAACTGTTTTTGTCACTTTTGTAAAAAAAGCCGGCGTCAGCTTGAAACATAATGGCGCTTCGCATGAGATCGGTAAAAGCACACACTAGTGTAAAAACATTTCAATTAACTTAACGAAGTATCATGTTTGCTTAAATGTTCTGGTTTTTTTTTTTTTTTTAGCTGTTGACCAGGTGGTTTTCCAGAAGCGAATACAGCAGCAGCTGCAGAAAAGCCCCAGATACCCTGATGTGAGTAAAATACCAGCACATAACTTTTCCTCATTTGCTACTGCTGCTCACATTCGCTCACCTCATTATGCATTTAGATCCTGAAGGAGTTTGTAACGGATTTGGAGGCTTACGTTGAGAACCCGGACAGGTTCAGGAACTGCCTTCTTCCATGTGTCCCACAGCCATCTGAAGGAGACGTGAGGTAATGGACATGCAAACCTTCTGGGAAGCAAACAGTCCACTCAGCAGCTTTCTGTGTTCTACGTATATGCTTATGTTTGAATTGTGCAACATGCCACCAAGCATTTGTCTTTGCTGCAGATCTGTCAGCTCATTCCAGGAAAGCCTCATCAGAATGTTATTGGGGATCGAAATGCTGCAGGTTTGATTTATTTGTGTTTTGCCTTTAACTACACACCGGAAAAACAAAGCAAAACAATATTTGTGTGACATGAGGATGTCACACTGTTAGGAAAAGAAAAAAAAACCACTCCTTTCTCTGAGATTTGTTTCCCTGAATTTCTAATGACTTGCGCATTTTCTTGCAGACTCTGATAATCAGCACCTTACTTGAGAAACTCCCTGAGTTTATGTTCGATGGGTCAGTATTTCACATGTCCATTTGAAAACGCCTCATCTATTTCTCGCAGTCTTTTTCACGACCCGTTTGGATTTGCTTTGTAAATCACAGCATTGTGGACGGAGGACTCAATATTCCTCGCATGATTATTAACCAGCTGAAATGGCTGGACAGAGTCGTGGACACAAAGGTGATATATTTATCATCTGTTCGACTTATTGAAGTTTTAAGCTGACTTGTTCTGTTTGCAGTCGCGTGTTTTAAGGAGGTGGTGATGTATTTATTTCTCCTGCGTTGTAGGAACTTGCTGCGAAGCTGATGGAGCTGGTGTCGGTAGCGCCGGTTGAGGTGCAGCGTGACATCATCACCAGCTTACCTGAGATACTAGAAGACTCTCAGCACAATGACATAGCCAGGGAGCTCAAGTAGGGACTGGATGACACTGGAGTTTTGTTATTATTGCTGTCGGTTTGGAGGCTTTCATCCCTTTCCTTTTCTTTGCAGTGCTTTGCTCCAGGAGAACACTCAACTGACGGTTCCCATCCTGGACGCCCTCTCCAGTCTCAACCTCTCGTCGTCATTACTGACGGAGGTACAGAGCCTGATAATGTCGTTGACGCCCCAAGTAAAGATGGGATTATTTTACATTCGCTACAGGAATTTGGAAATAAATTCCTGTAGCGAATTTGAAATAAATTCCTGTAGCGACATCATTTTACACTGAATTATTAACTTTTATTTGAGGTGCATTTCTTAAGAGGGGTATTGAAGCGCTTTATTAAATATTTGTTCCTAATGCACAATTATATTGGCAACTCCTAACAATTAGAGATGCACTGATTAGGCCTTTTCTAGCTGATACTGATCTTTATCTTTCTGTCAGTTATTGCATGTTAAATCCATCATTTTATTTTCTAAGGACTGTGACAGGGAAAAGATATGCTGCAGGGTTTTTTTAAAATCAAAGTCAGCAGGTTTGAATCCAATAGTAAATGAAGCAACTATATCCCTTGTTTTAATCTTCTCCGCACACGCGCGCACACACACACACACACACACACGCACACACACACACACACACACATACACCACTGCACCCTGACTGGTTACAGTTCTCTTCTCAGGTCCGAGAGGCGGTTATGGCCACGCTCGCCGCTGTCCAGCTGGAAGACCTGCCCGTTGTGGTGAAGTTCATCCTGCACTCTGTCTCGGCCTCGAACGCACATGAAGTCAGACATCAAGTCACGTCCATATCGTTTCACTCTTTCTTTGGTGGTAATTGTTATGAAGACATGTGTTTGTCTGTCTTCAGGTGGTGAGTAATCTGCGTCAGAAGCTGGAGCTGGAGCAGTGCGTTCTTCCTCCGGTGCTGCAGGCCTCACAGATCCGCATGAAAAGCAAATCTTCGGCAGGGTGAGAAGCACCTGGGTTCAGCTCTGCTGCAGCTCGATATCAAAATGTTTGCTTTGACCCGGCTCAGGAAGTTCCTGATTATGTGTTTTGCTTTAGATCTGCTTCTACAGCCGCCGCTTCTGGCAGCAGTCAGGACAGCGTTACGTTGGTACTTGACTGCATCAAGTCGGCGGTCCGGTTCCAGAAAACTATTTCTGAGGCTTGGCTCAAGGTTAGTAAATAATCTGCCAGGAAAACAATTTTCTAAACCTTTTTTTTTTTCCTAAAGAAGACTACATTGTGGTGAGGGGTTTAGCATTTGTTGGTCCTGGGTTCAATATTTCAGGCTGAGGTCTTTCTGCATGTTCCCAGCAGTTCTCCGCAGGTGCTCTTGACTTCCCCCTACTGGCTCAAAATATGCATTATTAGGTTAGATTTCCAAAAATGAGCGAGTGTGTGTATGCGTGGTTGTTTATCCTGTGTGTCTCTGTGTTGCCCTGTGACGGACTGGCGACCTGTCCTTGGTGGACCCTGCCTCTCCACCAGTGACCGCTGGAGATTTGCGGGGGATCCTTTGGGGATAATGAGATATGGATGGATGATGAAATGCACAAATGGCAGAAAAGCAAAAACAATGTTAGGGAAAAGTGAATATATTAAAATGTGAGCGCTTTATTAATGGGGTTGTAAGATTTTTAAGTTATTCTATTTTCTATTTTTGTTTTTGCCTAGGTTAAAAACAGCTGCCTTTCTTAATCTTCGTTGCTGTTGACTTAACTTTTTGGTTTCTTCTCCAGGCGATCGAGTCTGTGGATGATGTTGAAGACCACAAGGTGAGTGCAGTGGAGTCTGTTCTCAGCTGGGAAACCCTCGCATGTTTTTTACCGCTTGTACACATCTTGTTGCGTATTTTAAGTTGCTTGGCTGGCCTAATTTTGTCTATCATTTACTTTTTCCTTCCTGACAAGGACCGTTCATCTTGTCACTGACGCCTGTCAGCACGAGTCGTTGTTCAAATCTGCACCTGTCGCTGTGATGCTTAATGCTGCATGTCGAGTTTGTATTTGTATATCGGTGATCTCCGTGTCGTCGTGTCAGGTTTTAGATCTGCTGGTGCTCTTCATCCTGCACTGCACCAACGCCAACCAGAGCCGCCGGGGCGCCGAGAGAGTTCTGAAGCTCAAAGTGAGGACCGGACTCATGCAGGAGGCTCTGCTGCAGAAAACCTTCAGGGACTACTCTCAGGTGGCTCAGTCTGGAAAACACACGCAAGCCCTCTGCACAGCAGCAGTACCGCCCAGCAGCAGTTTTACTCTTGTAATTGTTGCATTTGCAGGTCATGCGGGGGTACTTCCCCTCCATCCTGGCTCTCGCTCAGAGTTTGGTGCGCTCCCCTGACCCCTGCGTGGTGCCTTTTGGTGGGCAAATGTACAGCCACTCTTTCACTGCGTTTGACTCTTACTGCCAGCAGGTGGGGGTGTTAATCAGTGCATGTCTGCGTTTTAGATCTCAAAGCCTCAGAGGGGCGATTTTTGTTTTGTACCAGCTTTGGTAGCAGACAGAAATAAGTAGGGTTATACACACGACTCGTAGTGTAGTGTAAGAAAATGTGGCTTAATGATTCCAAGACGCATTATCTGGTAGAAGGAGGACATTTACAGTTTTTATGGTTTGAAGACATCCTAGTATTCTAATAATTCTTCTGTTTTTAACAAATAGTATAAAGTAAAAAAAACAAAAAAACAATTCACATGTGGGATTTGAACCCATTTATCGTCATTGTAATTTATTAAAATATATGTGACAAAGGTAAATTATAAACAGTTTTGAAAACGGTTGTTCGGAAGGGAGATGTGAAGACAGGAAGGGGTCAAATTCAGCAAGTCAATATTAAATTTGGTCACAAGGAACCTGGAAGTAACTCGGAGTGATTTAAATCTGCCTGGTGTTGTTTTTACAGGAGGTTGTTGGCTCTCTTGTGACCCACGTGTGCAGCGGTGTCAGCGGGGAGGTGGACGTGGCCCTGGAGCTGCTCTGCAGTCTCGTCGTGGAAAAACCCTCAGAAATGGCTCTCTATGCTGTTTTTGTGAAGGTACATGAATCTGCCCCATGTGGAAAAAAAAATCTAATTGTTCTTTCACTATAGCTATGTATATATATATATAAAAAAAGGAACAAAATATTAAGTGTTTGGAAAATATGCCCTCTGCAAACTAAAATTAGGGAGAGTAGCTCAATGAGCTTTTTTTTCTTTCTTTTCTTTAATTTAACTTTTAACATCGTCCAATGTAGTGGCTTTAACATCTTGCAAATTTAGTCTACATATTATGTTATTACAATTGGTTCTATATTGAATGGACACTGTTGATTTTTTTTATTTCCGTTTAGTTGTAAAAACTAGATTTTTTTTTTGTGGCTTTTGTGAAAAATGTGCTGCATGAACATGACAGATGTCATGGAAATAAACACTTCCCTACTTGACAATTTTAAAGTCGCTCTTGTGTTCGGGTTGGATTTGAACCGGTCAGTGTGTTTGACTCAGGGGATCTTGGACTACATGGACAATCTCACAGCACAGCAGATCAGAAGACTCTTCCACCTTCTGAGCAGACTGGCATTTGGGCAGCAGCAGCAAGGATCTCACATACAGGTCGCTTATTCACGCGCGCTTACATATCAGAGGGTATCTGCATCTACCCTTTTTTTTTCTTCCCCCCGCCCCCACCAATCGGTTCGTTCTCTTCCTGCAGGACGACATGCACATAGTGATCCGTAAGCAGCTCTCCAGCACCGTGCCAAAGTACAAGCGCATAGGCATCATTGGCGCTGTGATGATTGTCGGCAGCATGGGAGCCTTGAGGTGATGCTCCATGTAAACTTTTCAGTTTGGTTCTTTCGTCTGATTCGTGTCTTTGTCATTCTTGTCTCACATGTTCTGCGTTGCTCTCTATCCACTCCTCCATTTCAGGCCTAAAGGAAAGGAATCACAGAGCAGCTCTCTGTCCCAGGAAACGTTAAGACAGGTAAGGCAGCAGCATTCCTCTGAGCGCTGACTAAACCGTAAGTGTGAACAAATGGCTTTTTGATACGGTCTGACACATTTCTTTTGTCTCTCTTGCAGGTGACGGCTCTGCTGGAGCTGGTGAAGTCGAGCAGCGAAAGCTCTCCCGAGGCAGCGGCTCTGTACTACGATGAACTGGCCAACCTCATCTGGAGTTCTGCGCTGGACCCGCAGGTGGAGGTACGTCTCAGGAATTTCCCCAAGGAAAACTAAAACGGCAACGTTTTGTTATATTTTCAACGATTTTTAAGATGAAGACATTCAGATTAAGATTAAGCAGTCTCACAAACAAGTATTTCACGTTCATTGTTTGCAATGTTTTGACAGGAAATGATTGGGATGAGTGTCCTGGATGACTTCCAGGATGACTTTGTAGTGGACCTTGGACCAGATATAGCAGGGTTGGTGCTCAAAATCAAATAAAATAAAAAATAATTTTAATTGTAAATTATTTGCATAATTTGCACAGTTTCAATGGATAAATATGGATATTTTGATTAAAGTAATTTTTGCAGAGCTGTAACTTCACCCTACAGTACAGTCATGGCCAAACGTTTTGAGAATGATTCAAATGTTAATGTTTACAACGTCTACTGCTTCAGTTTTTATAATGGCAATGTGCATAAACTCCAGAATGTTATGAAGAGTGATCATCTTAACAGCAATTAATTGCAAAGTCAATATTCGCCTAGAAAATGAACTTTATCCCCCCAAAACATATTTTAACTTCATTGCAGCCCTGCCTTAAAAGGACCAGCTAACATCGTTTCAGTAATTGCTCCATTAACACAGGTGTGGGTGTTGATGAGGACAGGGCTGGAGATCAATCTGTCATGATTAAGTAAGAATGACACCACTGGACACTTTAAAAAGAGGCTGGTGCTTGGCATCATTGTTTCTCTTCTGTGAACCATGGTTATCTCTAAAGAAACACGTGCAGTCATCATTGCACTGCACAAAAATGGCCTAACAGGGAAGAGTATCGCAGCTAGAAAGATTGCACCTCAGTCAACAATCTATCGCATCATCAAGAACTTCAAGGAGAGAGGTTCCATTGTTGCCAAAAAGGCTCCAGGGCGCCCAAGAAAGACCAGCAAGCGCCAGGACCGTCTCTTAAAAGTGTTTCAGCTGCGGGATCGGGCTACCAGCAGTGCAGAGCTTGCTCAGGAATGGCAGCAGGCAGGTGTGAGTGCATCTGCACGCACTGTGAGGCGGAGACTCTTGGAGCAAGGCCTGGTCTCAAGGAGGGCAGCAAAGAAGCCACTTCTCTCCAGGAAAAACATCAGGGACAGACTGATATTCTGCAAAAGGTACAGGGAGTGGACTGCTGAGGACTGGGGTAAAGTCATTTTCTCTGATGAATCCCCTTTCCGATTGTTTGGGACATCTGGAAAACAGCTTGTTCGGAGAAGACGAGGTGAGCGCTACCACCGTCTCACGCCAACCGTAAAGCATCCTGAAACCATTCATGTGTGGGGTTGCTTCTCAGCCAAGGGAGTCGGCTCTCTCACAGTCTTGCCTAAAAACACAGCCATGAATAAAGAATGGTACCAGAATGTCCTCCGAGAGCAACTTCTCCCAACCGTCCAAGAGCAGTTTGGTGATGAACAATGCCTTTTCCAGCATGATGGAGCACCTCGCCATGAACCAAAGGTGATAACTAACTGGCTCAGGGAACAAAACATAGAGATTTTGGGTCCATGGCCTGGAAACCCCCCAGATCTTAATCCCATTGAAAACTTGTGCTCAATCATCAAGAGACGGGTGGGCAAACAAAAACCAAGGAATTCTGACAAAATGCAAGCATTGATTGATGGTGCAAGAATGGACTGCTGTCAGTCAGGACTTGGTCCAGAAGTTGATTGAGAGCATGCCAGGGAGAATTGCAGAGGTCCTGAAGAAGAGGGGTCAACACTGCAAATATTGACTTGCTGCATTAACTCATTCTGTCAATAAAAGCTTTTGTTACTCATAATATGATTGCAGTTGTATTTCTGTATGTGATGAAAACATCTGACATACACACATGAAAACCAGAGGGCAGCAGATCATGTGAAAATATAATATTTCTGTCATTCTCAAAACCTTTGGCCATGACTTTTGGAATGAGTTTTCTGGGTTAGGATAGGCATGGTGAAAGAAAATACCGTATGGAAAAATATTTTTATTTCCAAACATTCTAGTGTCCCACAGCTTATTCCGTCTTTCTCTAAAAGTGGAGTCATTTGTTCATTCATTCATAGTTTCTTTCTTTCGCCCGTTCAGCTCACGTTCTGTTCTTCGTTCCAGATCCTTCATCTTTCCGGCCTGTGCCCTGTACAACCTCGAGGAGGATGAGAGTCAGGGAGGCATCGCCATCAACCTGTTGCCTCTGCTGGCCAAAGAAACCCAACATAAAGGAGAGCAGCAGCGATCTCAAATTGGGAAACAGAAGCAAGAAAAGTCGGTGACTTTGTGAAACGGGATGTTTATATGTAGGTTGTGACCATGACTGCTAATGTTATGCGTTTTTTTTTTTTTTTTTTACAGGCGGGTGTCCCCTCTCTGCTTATCTCCCTTTTTCCGCCTATTGAGGCTTTGTGAAGAGAAACGGCATCAGGGAGATCTAGAAGAGATCGATGCCCTCGTGGGTGAGAACAGTGAGAAACAAGTTTTTCTTCTTTTTTTTTTTTAAATCTTCCTCAGTTTTAAAGCATTTTTTTTTTCTCTGCACGTTTACATTTTCCACATCACAGGATGTCCTCTGATCCTGACAAACATGGACGTAGTGGACAAAGTTGACAGCCTGTCAAAAGCTGAGAGGGAGTTCCTCTGTACTTTGCTCTTTCACACCATCAACTGGTTCAGAGAGGTAACTGCAGCTCGAAAACAAAAAAAGAACGAGCGTTTATAAAGATGCCAATGTGACTGAAGTTTGTTTTCACAGGTCGTGAACGCGTTCTGCACACAGAAAGAGACGGAGATGAAGATGAAGGTGATGACTCGCCTGCAGAACATCACTGTTCTGCAGGCGCTGTTGGAGAGGGCTCTCGCAGGTGTTTTTTTGTTTGTTTCTCCAATAACTGATTTATAAACCCCTTCCCCCGTCCCCATACCCAATTAGTCTTAGTTTTTTCCTCCTGCTTTCAGGAACTCCTGGTTACATGCCACCTGTTTCAAACTTTGATGGAGAAACTACAGATGGGATCAGTTTTGGTGTTCCTGTGAACAAGGAAAATAAAGGTAGTTAAATCCCCCCTCCCACCCACCCCAACACACACACACACACGCTTGTATTTGTTTAACTGTCCTGTGCTGCTCAGATGGAACGGGAAAAAAGCGAAAGGCTCCTGGTAAGAATGCCCCAGAAGGCGCCTCTCAGCCTGAGGAGGCGACCGAAGCAGACGAAACTCAGCAGGTGGCGGCTTTAGATGAATATAATTCTGTTTAAAGCAAATATAAACATGCGGACGTAAAAAAAAAAAAAAAATTATAAATGTTCTGCAGGAGCAGCCGGAAAAGGAGAAGGAAAAAGAGAACCGGCTCGGCGTCAGATTGACGGCGTACAGGCCGTTCTTCAGAGAGCTGGACATGGAGGTGCTCAGTGTGCTGCAGTGTGGTTTGCTGTCACGCTCGCTGCTGGACTCGGAGCTCCACACTAAGGTGAGGCTGTGAATAATTGATGTGATCCTGCTTTGGCTTAATTGCATTTATCCTAAACACCCAGTACATTATTTAAATGACCGAGGTTCAAGAGGAGGTCGTGTTGGGCCCCACTGAGCTGGTCTTCCTGCTGGAGGATATGCAGCACAAGCTGGAGTTCAGTCTCACTGCCGCTCCAGCAAAGAGGGCTCCGTTCCTCAAGGTACAGACTAATACGACACGATAGCAAAGAGGACGGCTGCATGTTCACAAACTATTTAAAGGTTAACAAAAGGGAGGAGGGTGTTTTCTGGCCAAAAGTAGTTGCAGAAAGTAAAACAAAAACAAAAAAAACAAAAACTTTGTGCTGAGGAGGGCTAAGAAGGATTCAGTCTCCAGTTCTCCACCGTTTTAGAAGAAACATTGATCAAGGTGCAAATCTATAAAGCTGCATCAACAGAGACATTTTATTTTCGTAGATGAGGGCGGATAAAACCGTGGGATTCTCACATCTGCAACAGAGGAGTACAAAAGACATCGCGTCCTACTGTGTCCAGCTGTTACCCGCCCTCTGCTCACATCTGGAAAACTGCCATAATCATTTTCAGGTACAGAATCCCTTAATTCTCATGTCTCCTGTCGTCTCTTTAAATGAATTTAAAAAAAAAAAACCCTTACTGAATGCATTTGTGCATTTACAGACTCTGCTGTCTGAGAACAACGGCGTTGTGGACGGACCATCTACGGACGTGGAGGAGCACCAGGTGATGTCATCAGGTTACCAGCTGCTCCTGCAGGTCATAAACACCACCTTGAATTGGTAAGTGAACGTTGGGTCCTAAACCCAGGAGCTTGGAAGTGCGGCGCACCGTGTCGGCCTTTTCTTGGTTTGCTGAGCTGTTCTATAATTGGGATCCGTCAGGTCTGGATTCAGCCAGCCAGGACAGCGGAGCTTGCTGAAGAAAGCTCTGGGGGTTTTGGCTGGACGACTTAAAGAAGGGGGTCCTGAACTGACCCTGGAGCAGCTCGTCAAGTGGGTTCCGATTTTCTAAACCAGATGACAGACCAGATTCTGCACTTTGACTGGTTTTCATTAAGGATTTAAGATCCTTGTTTTACTTGCACCCCTGTGTCGCGATGCCTAATATTCATCCCTGCTCTTCTAGGCACAGTTTCGAGTACCTGCTGAACTTCCGCAGCACCATGCCGAGCCTGAGCACAGCTCTGTGTCTCTCCCAGCTCCTGTCAACTGTGTCAGAGAAGGGAGGAAACCCCGGTGCTTACAGAGAGCAGACCGGTGAGGCTGACATCCGGACATAAATCTTCCACTCCACCATCCAGAAAAAAAAAAAAAAAATGTGATGAATCTGGTCTCGTTTTTGCATCGCAGCTTCCCTGGCGCGCCGCTTCCTGAACCAAAGTTGGGTGACGGCTAGCGGAGAGAAAGAGCGAGGCAGCAAATTCAACGAGGCACTTCACACGCTCCTGAGGTAGGTCTGCATCGCACACAAAAATGCTCAACGCGGAGGCTCACCAGAAAGGATAGCTGCACATAGTTACCTATCCTGGTTTTTTTTGTTTTGTTTTGTTTTGTTTTTTTGCCTTGTATCAAATTTCCATGGAAATCATCTTAAAGGCGTGAATCCCACACAGAACTAAAACTAATAGCTCACACAAGATGGTTACAAAAAAAGATTACATTCTTTCTGAACGCACTCCTATTTTTTTTTTTTTTTTTTTTTTAAATTTATTTTTTTTACCTCTTTTAAACGGTTTTTTTTTTTTCCTCCTAA